AGCGGTTCCCATTCAGCAGAAATAATTGTCTTCCTAATTCCTGCCGTAATTACTGTCCCAAGGTGGAAGTGGAGGGCGAGGAAAGCTCCATGGGGAGAGGCCAGGAAAGTCGGACCCGGGGTGGGGTTTGGAGGGAGGTGCCGTGATCCGCCTGTGCCCCACCGCAGCTTCTCCCTGCCTCTCCACCAAAGCCCCAGGATGGAGACCCTGGCAGTGTCCCCAGCATGGGACATAGTGATGTGGCAAAGCCTGAGCGGGGCAGGAGCAAAGCCAGAGGGACGTGCCGGTGGCAATCGAGGAGCGCAGGGTCAGGGTGGGTGGTGGGAAGGGGACCCCTCCACAGGGGCTGCAGTGGTCCCGGAGCTGTGGCTCAGTGGCCGCCCTCGATGCATCTCCCGCAGCCTTGAGCTGACCGGGACATTCCCAGTGACACAGGCTCCCAACCCCACAGGAGGGAAGGGCCACAGCATCAAAATCCACCAGGGCTACATTTTTCCCTGCTATCTCTCCACAGTATCTCAGCCACCCAGGTGATCACCGTAACGACCGACATAGTCTTCCAGAGCAGCCCCTGCTGTCCCTGCACCGGCAGTAATGCCATGGGCAAGCTGGGGGGGACACTGCAGTGGATGCAGGAGCTGGTCCCAGGGGTGCTGGTGTTTGGCGCATCATGGGCGGGTGAGGAGGGGCTGCTTCCAGGCAGATGTTGGGGTTGCAGGCAACAGAAGGTTGTGCTCCATGGGGGACCCATGTCGGTGACCCCTGCCCTGCCCTGCCACCATGTCCACCATGGAGGAAATAGCAACCAGGGCAGCCCGGCCCAGGGAGCACCCAGGAATGTGGTACCTCCCAGGGCAGGCACCCAGCGGGGACAGGGACAGAGACAACACTGTGCCACCAGGATGGTGCTCCTGCCCAGACAAGGGTGCGCAGCAGGAGAGGCGCTGGGGGAGCAGGATGGATCCCCCCGACTGTGGCATGTGCCGGCTGGTCCCACACGGAGCCTGATGGCCTGTCAAGACCGATGCTCTCTGGGGCTGACGCAAGCCGGGCACTGTCCCTGCTGCCCACCCAGGGACAGGGACAGGAACAGTGACAGTGACAGGGAGAACAGGGATGCCCCGGTACATTGGAGCCAGCACTCCCCACTGCTCCTCTTCTCGTGGCTCCGTGTGCTCCCGGGATGGGTCATCCCACCTGTGTGTCGCCTCTGTCCCACACGCAGGGACACGCCGATGGGAGATGTCCCTGCGTGTGGGTCATCACTGCTCCCTGATGGTCCCCACGCAGCCAGCTGCTGGCACACACGGGCACGCACAGTTTAGAGGGCACATGCACATGCAGTGTGGACTGTACACACACCCACGCATGCAGGTACACACAGAGCATGGACCGCACACACACGCAGGCACACGTGTCCACACCTGGCCGGCTTGGATTCCACGTGCACACGCACATGCAGGCAGCCTGCCCGGCTGAGCGTGCCAGAGCCCTCCTGTCTCTCGCAGGGACAGGCGCTCCCGGAAGGGAGCTGACAGGGAAAGCCCCGGCGGCTCCGGTGCCTCCATCCTTGCGACACACTGCACCAGCAGACCCATCTGCGGCGCCATGCGGCGCTGGCATGATGCAGCCCCGGGGACAAGCAGTCACCGGTGCAGCCTGTGGCATGCTTACAGATACCCCTGAGCAGTGCAGCGTTAGGGGCGGATTCAGGACCCCCAGGAGAACCAGGACCCAAGCGATTGCCATGGGGCTCTGGGCACGGGCAGAGTCGTGGGTGGGAAGTGTAGCCAGACCCCGAGAAGGGCCGTGTCCCTCCGAGTGATGGTGCTGGTGCAGATCCATGCCCCTGCCCAGAGTCCCCGGCAGCAGGCAGCCGCAGGGTCCAGGGTGGCGGGTCCTGCCAGCCCCATGGGAGGGAGCAGGAGGTGAGAGGCAG